GTGTTTAAGGAGAAAACTCCAACACAACGTGCGAAATTCTCTGCGGAAAATAAATTGTGCTTCTCCTGCTTACAAGGGAACCACGCATTCCGGCAATGTCCCCGAGCAAAGAAATGCACCAAACCAGGTTGCACTAGCACCCATAATGTACTTCTCCATGGGGCTGAACGTGTTTTTCCTAGTCGAAATCCGGAAAAAAATGATAGCCATACAAGATCCAACGCTGGTCAACCAAGATCTAATGCAGAGCCGGATAAAGCGAGCACAAACGCTGATCGAAAATCATTCAGCAAGAATATACCAAACGCAAGTTCGAATCATGCAGACATTAATCCCGTTCCGTTGGATGTAAGTTGCGCAATCTCGAACGACCAATCGTCAATCATAACATCGAAAGGGTTACTCCCCATAATCAAACTCCAAGTTTCCACCGATTTCCAGAGTGCTGATTGTTTAACATTGTGTGACTCAGCATCTAGTCATTCCTGGATATCGGCTAAATTAGTCAAATGTCTGAATCTCTCAGGAAGAGATTTGGATCTCACAGTAAATGGCATTAACACAACGACTGTTGTTAAAACGAAACAAGTTCAGATGAAGGTATCTTCTAACTTCGATGGATTCGAATACATATTCGAATTAACCGCATTTGTCAAGGATGAACTTAAAGTCGGTACCGATACCGTCAACATCCCTGCATTACAGAGCAAGTATCCGTACCTTGCTCCCATCAAACCAATTGTGTATAGCTACGCCGATGTAGACTTAATAATTGGTCAAGACTCCTTCCATGCTATTCGGCCTGAGGAGTATTTCAAGAGTGAGGCCGATCCAAACAAATCGCCCGTCGCGGTTCGCCTTCCAATAGGCTGGGTCTTGAGCGGCCCAATGCCGACATCTACTGGTTTCCTTTCTACTTGTTTCAAGTGCAATACGGATGATACCGAACTAGCTTGTCAAATCAAACGCTGGTATGAAATAGAGTCATACGGAGCCTACAAACAGGTCGATTCCCGTTCAGCCGAAGACAAAAGGGCGGCTAAAATACTTGATTCCTCCACCGTCCACGATGGATCAAGATACGCTGTAGGTATGCTTTGGGCAGAAGAATCTATCATGTTACCAGATAATTACTATTCCTCTTTGGTTCAGTTAAAATCGTTGGAGAAACGTTTAGCGAAAGATCCTCACTTAAGGGATCAATACTCAAAAACTATCGAAGATGATTTGAGTAAAGGATACGTGATTCAAGTTCCTCCCCATAATTTTTCGAACCGCAGCATACGCGAGTGGTATCTTCCTCACCATCCCGTGGTGAACCCAAACAAACCTGGTAAAGTGAGGCGTGTCCTTAACGGAGCGTCTAAATTCCACGGTACGTCATTGAACAAATCGTTGCTAGTAGGACCCGACCTACTGCAGAACCTTGTGTTCGTTCTCCTCCGTTTTCGTCAACATCATTTTGCCGTATCGGCTGACATTGAAGGGATGTTCCTACAAGTCGGCGTCCTTCCAGAGGACCAACCATCTCTTCGTTTTCTGTGGCGGGAGGACCCCACAGCCGATGTGGTTGTACACCAGTACACCAGACATATATTTGGAGCAAGAGATTCGCCAACGTGTGCAAATTATGCATTGCAACGGACTGCAACGGATAATCAGGCGATGTTCCCTGACGCAGCGTCCGCAGTTCTAGAGAAATTTTATATGGACGACTACCTTGACTCCTTTGAGGACCCTGATGTTGCATTTAAAATGAGTCAAGAGTTGATTACTCTGTTAGCTCTAGGTGGTTTTAAATTAACTAAGTTCATAAGTAACGTAACTAAAATTAATAAAGAGTTAAACCCGCCCCAAAGCGCGCCGCAACAGGAAAGTAAAAATATTGTAACTTGTGGGGATAATTCTTCTCATGTTCTTGGTCTGAAGTGGGACCATATTGACGACACTTTGGTCGTAAGCCGTCGTGTCAATCGTGAACTTAAAAATTCGATAACACAGCGAACAGTGTTAAGTTTTGTTTCTTCCGTTTTCGACCCCATAGGTCTCGTAGCGCCCTATACCGTAAGAGCGCGATTATTGTTGAAAGAAATCTGGCGCATTCATGGTCAACAATGGGATGATCAGCTACCCGTTGATATCAAGACAAAATTTCTTGCCTGGCACTCTGGTTTGCCATCTCTAGGGAAAATGAGTATAAAGCGCAGCTACTTCTCCGGACCAGTCGATTGGGTTGAGTTACACATGTTCGGTGACAGCTCAGAAGAAGTTTTTTGTGCTGTAGCTTTTCTTCGCGCCCGTGTGAAAACTTCACTCGAAACACAAGTTGCCTTCGTCTTTGGAAAAGCAAGAGTGGCGCCCATGAAAGCGCTTTCCATACCGAAGCTTGAACTGCAGGCCGCGTTACTCGCTACCCGCTTGAAGGAAGATGTCCTCAAAGCTCTAACCATTCCTGTGTCAAACACGTTCATGTGGACTGACAGCACCACTGTGCTCCAGTGGTTAAACTCAGGTAGTAAGCAACCCACGTTCGTGGCAAACCGGATTGGAGAGATTCTAGAAAGTACGACCGTAGACCAGTGGTTTCATGTCTTAAGTGGAGACAACCCTGCTGATACGGGAACCAGAGGAATCTCAGCGGAGTCCTTAAAAACAAGCAGCTGGGTGAACGGGCCAAGTCTGCTGCAAAGTGGCGAGTGGCCTTTCAAGCCGAGCATAGAAATACTTAAGAAAATCCGCCTGGCTGGTCCCGCTTGTGACCTCAATGAAGGCTTACAGCAAGCCTCTAATTTTTCAAACGTTGCACTAAATCAAAAACAACCCATTTTATTTGATTGGCAAAAGTTCAGCTCGTTTCGTAAACTCCAGCGAGTGGTTGCCTTCATGCTCAGACTTAGTCCGAAACACCGGCACTACCGCACTAAAGTCAAGGAAATAATCGATCCGGTTGAATTAGAAACCGCCAAACAACGACTTTTGATGATTTCCCAAAAGGAATCTTTTGAAGCGGAATATTTACTCCTATCCTGCAACAAAACCGTCAAAAAGTCTAGTCGTATTGCACAGTATGCACCGTTTATGGGTCCTGCATTCCTCATTCGTTCAACTGGGCGAATTCGCCGCCTAGTTGAAACTGAATATGACACAAAACACCCTATAATCCTTGATGGAAGGCATTCTTTGGTGAAATTGTTCGTAAGTGATATTCATTATCGCTATCAGCACCAGTTCTTAGACTACCTGCGAGCTGTAATTCACTTAGAGTTCGCAATCTTGAACCTTCGCTCTTTATTGAAGTCCATTGAAGTCCACTGCCTTATATGTAGGAAGCGCAAAGCCAAAACTGTCACACCTATGATGGCAGAGCTTCCAGTTGAAAGGCTTGGTTACCGCCAGCCTCCCTTCACAAACTGTGGTGTTGATTACTTTGGACCCTTTTACGTCTCAATCAGGAGGAGTTCTGAAAAACGATGGTGCTTCCTTTTTACATGTATGACCACCAGAGCTGTACATATTGAGATTGTCTCATCCATGGACACGAGTTCGTGTGTAATGGGAATCGAAAGATTCATTGCCCGTCGCGGCACTCCATCAGTCATTTGGTCTGATAACGGCACCAATTTTGTGGGAGCCGAGAAAGAACTCTTAAAATGTATTCAGTCATGGAACGATCAAGCACCCCCAGAGCTGGCGAAAAAAGGTATTAAGTGGAAATTTAACCCCCCGGCAGCCCCGCATCACGGTGGTTCTTGGGAACGCCTCGTTCGGTGTTGTAAAAGGGTATTCTACGCAATAATAGGAAGTAGAAAGCTCACTCCCGAAGTCCTTGAAACAACTTTCTGTCTTGTAGAACAATCACTGAACGCTCGACCTATAACATCAGTAAGTGCAAGTCCGGATGGTTTCGAGGTGTTAACTCCTAATCATTTTTTGTTAGGCCGAAATGGTACTAGCTTTCCTTCTCTCTCTTTCCAGGAGCACTTCGACCATCGAAAGCAATATATCCGAGCGCAAAGCTACGCCAACGCAATTTGGAGTCGTTGGCTGCGAGATTATGTGCCAGCACTAAATAAACGCAGTAAGTGGCACTCCGATAGTGACGTTATTTTAAAAACAGGGGATTTAGTGTGGATTGTTGACGAACGCAGCCCAAGGGGACACTACCCTCTGGCTCGTATAAAAACCCTTAATTACGGAAAAGACAACATAGCCCGATCCGCCGTAGTTACCACCCGCTCCGGGGAGCTAACTCGACCGGCCGTAAAACTCGCACCCGTTTTTGCTCCTTTGGGCGCGGAAGATGTTCGCGCTTAAATTAATGACGTCATTATAGCGCGAAAGTGAAAAAGCTAAAATTAGATTTGCTTAGACAAAAGGCCTTGAAAAACTACTGGTTTGTCCGATTAAGGTCAGTTTGCCATCAAAATGTTTATAGATTTTTGAGATTGTTGAAAACCGTATTGCTAAAATGCTAACCGAAAATGTTAAACTGATTGTTGTCATATATTACTTACTCTTCATATTATCTGTTAAGTTGCCGATAATTTACAGATTTTGAAGCAGGTTTTTGTAGATCTTACAGGATACGAGAGTGCGGCACATTAGAGAAACTAAGGTTTTGGTTGAAGCCCAAATTTCGATATTTTGAAATTACCTATTTGCCACATCAATAACAAAAAATTAAAAACTATCAAACATGTGCCTCCAGCTTTAGCTGAGCCCCTATTTTTCAATTTTTTCCGAATACCACGGCAGATCATAAAACGATGACAATATATAACAAATTTTTGATCATATAACAAATTTTTCTGCATTTT